AGAAGTCAATAAATCTTTAAACCTAGAAAACGATCGTTCTACGTCACAACTCGTTACAGGAGCAAATGAAAAATGTGGAACAAAATCACAATATTTTAAAGCAGTTTCATAATCGTTAAAATTGTTCAGGGAGATTTGTTTCAGAGTCTGTAAATTTGGATTTCTTTTAATAACACAATCTATTTTATGGTTAAATTTATCTTGTAAGGGCCACTTTACGTTTTTTAAGTGTAACAATGTCGATTCAAATTTTTCCATAGCAACCGATAATTGTAAGTTACGGGTTTCAAGGAATTTTATAGTTTCTGGGAGACACGAAAAATAAGTCGCAAGAAAATTTAACTCCGACTGCAAAGTTGTTTTTGTTATTAAACCTTTACACTGAGTGATAGAGAGAGCGTCCTCTGATAAGTTGGAAATAAATACTTTTAGTCTGTCGAAATGCTCCGAAAAAAAGAACACAGCCTGTAACCAAGTTCCCCATCGTGTAATAACTGGTTGTGGAAGTAGGGGGATATTCGGACATATTTCTTTATATAAAGAAACTCGGGACGGTGCTTTTAACAAAATTTTTTTAAAACAGCTAATCAACGAATTAATGTCTGGAAAGCTGTCACGGATAAACTCACAAACTCGGTGTAACGCGTGAGCAAGGCAAGTTACATGCAGCATGTTTGGAAAATGTTCTTGTAATAGTTTCCCTGTTTTCAACATTACACTTGCCGCGTCTGAAATAAACAATAAAACTTTTGAAACGTCATTATCAATTACATTGTTCAATCCACGTTTCACTATTTCATAAATCATTTCAGCGTTCACAGTTTCACGAAACACACTAGAAACTAAATACTGTTGTGAAGTATTTTCAGCACTTAATAATCCTACAACAACATTAACAACACATCTACCCTTTATGTCAGTCGTTTCATCTGCACTAACCCAAATATATTTGCTGGAAATTTTCGTTTTTATTGCCGTCATTGCTTTATCGTACTGATTTTGAATATAATGTTTTCTAATTGTGGATTCATCCGGTATTTTACGTTTAGTATATTTACAAAGAAAATTTTTGAAAATTGTATTATTTAATTTTGTTAATGGAATATTTGCAGAAACAAATGCGTTGCATAAATCTTCATAAAAGATTTTGTCTGGACATCCCTCTAAAGATTGCATGTGTTTTTGTGTTTTCACATGTTGTGTCATACTTGACTTTCCATTAAAAACTAACACCTGATCACAATTGCGGCAGTATAATTTGTTGTCATTAAAACGACGAAAACAATCAAAGTCCGATAATAAATTTTCCATATTTACGTTTCCAGTTTCTATCACTTTTCCCTTTGAACTAAACAAATATACTCATTGGAAAAATCTAGTGATATTTTTACAAGACACTTTCTTCTCAAATCTCCTGTTTATCGACTCTTTGTTATCTTTTTACATTTTTTCAACCAACAGATACCTATATAGAGTGAGCAATTGAATTAATACATACATTACAGAAATTTAACAGACATTTATTTTATTGTCTCATCGTGTATAAGTACCATAATATCCACAGGAAATAAAAACATAAATGTTTTGTTACAAAAAATCGGTATGTACGGTATCGATAAAAGCCAAAATATTCATAAATATAATATAAGGATTGACTTTATTTGAATAAAAATATCACCGGCAACTAACCGACAATGGATCGAGAAAGTATAAGACAACATATGATGGGCCTATTTGACATTCATTTTAGGCCCTCTCTACAGCGTCTTAGTCCAAACGCTCGTAGAGTCCTAATATTTGGCCCCGATGCAATTTCTCCAACAATGAATCGGGACCAGCTAAGGCTAGAAATTTCCAATTTTCTGGAGGAAATAACAAATTCGGGGGAGGCAGCTGGGGTCCTCGATCCTCATTTTAGGCAGGAGAGTAGTGTACCACGCCAAAATATTGAGGAATAGATATTTTGTAATTATATAAGAGATAATAATAAAAAAAATATCATACAGAATATCGTTTACATTACTACACCTTAAACTCGCTTATGAAAAGTTTAACATCTTCATCAAAAAAGTTATTTTTTTTTAAGGAAAATTTCTCAGGCCACAAATTAAAGGATCTGAGGTTACTAAAAACTTTTGTAAAATATCCTACATATCCTCGGCGTTGGTGAGAAGAAAACATTAAATTTGTTTAATGAAAATGATTCAAAAGACAAAGAATATAGGTACACGATAAAAAAAAATCTCACTTTTTTGTATTAGTTTTAATGTCTATGTATATATCAGTACACTTTTTTTATCTTGTTTTAATAAAAAAAAGAGGTTTGTCCTGATAGTATTAGAATCTGCCGCACTGTCTGCCGTCTTAAATAGCGAACCCAGAATGAGACGCCTATGTGATTAAAACCAATTATTTGAACGCGATTAAAATGTCCGGTCTTTAATAATTTGACACCAAAAACGTTTGCCAAATTTAGTAAAATTGTTGTGAGTAATAAAAAAAATAAAGCAATAAATATTTTTTGGATTTTAACACCTTAACTCGGTACCAAGAAACATTTTATCTAAGCATGATTTGTTTAGTTGTCTTATTTTTAATCAGAGAATCGTCAGTTGTTCTATATCCCATTCTTAACGAAACACTATGTATAGTATAAATGGTCCCTACGTAATGATACGAAGACCGTTGTCCTTTGTTGACTGGACACAAGAATGAACTACTAAACAGCGTTGGGTTTTTAGTAGCAACAGCTTGTACTGAAATTCAGATCGTGATTGTACCAGAACGTACTAGATTTGGCGATACATTTCAAATTTATTTATTTATTTATTTATTTATAAATGAGAACACAAACTCATTTTAAACCAAAAAATAAATAAAATGGGTATACCAAAAATATATTCTTATGTTGGTAAATAAAAAATTTAAAAAGAAACCAAAATAAACTTTATTTTAAACAAAAAAATATAAATTAAAATACGTAAAACAAAAATATATTTTTATATGGTTAAATAATAAAATTTAAAAATAAAAACAAACACTTATTTTTTATAGAAAAACAAATAAAATAAGGGTAAAAATTAAAAAATATTTGTTATGTCAATAGATTTACAATAATTAATCTATAATAGACTGTAAGTGTAGTATTCTTTTTAATAAATAATTTACCGTAATTAACAATGTTTAAATTTATTTACTAGAACATGAAAGTGTAGTCGATATTTATCAGGTTTTTAAATTTCCCGCTGGGTTATTTGTTTGATATCGATGATAGCGACACATAGTGGGCCAGATGTTAACTGCGTTCGAGCTGGTGGTTGTTAAGCATATGCTTAGGAGCGTATCTTATATTTATGTCCCTTATATGAAGACTCATACTCTTATCTCTTACCCCTTATTTTCAAAGTATGGGAGCACTCATTTCTCTCAAGATTCTCATCAGAAATGTCGTACGTCAATGTGGAAACGCTGTTTTAAAGGCCTCGAGGATTAAAATTCTTACGAGAATTTGTATTCCCTCTAAATAAACCGAGAGAAACAATCTGTGAGTTCACACTGGCCCCAAGGGCCCTAAAAATACTGTTTTGCGTTGACATATTATGACATTTCTCTTGAGAGGAATGACTTTTCTCGAGTTTGAAAATAGCCTCCCTGGTATAAAGTATCGCATTGGGAGTATCAGAAGTATCTACTGTCTAGCATAGAAATTGGAAATCATAGAATACATTATTCTAGAAGATCCAGCGAAATATTTAAAATGTACTAGATTTAGATACTTTTGTCTTTTGTGGTACTAGCATTTATGAATGGTTGAAATGTACTGAATCTAGTACAATTGTACTAATAAACCCAACGCTGCTACTAAATAAATATACCGACGTGCCGAATCTAATGCAAAAGTTTTATTTTTATACCTGTTTCATCGAAAATATTTGTCAAGGTCAAGAACTCGTTTAGTTATTATCGCGTAGTAGCTAGGGGTGATGAATTTGTTAGGTATTTTATAACAGTTACAGTTTAGAACTAATAAAATTATTACGCCATCTGTTGAACAAAAGAACTATTAAATATGGAATATTGCTCCATCTGCTGAACAAAAGGATTCTTAATTTATGACACATAAATGACATCTATCAAAATTAGTTCATGTTACGAATATTGGGGGTGGTACTGTGGTCTTAAGTCCAGTATATACATGCATAATTGAAATGTAATATTAATATATTTAAGAATGTAATTAACAATGTAATGGGGTTTCCCTTCAATAAATAAATAAACAGGATCAGGTAAGTAAAAAAAGGTCATCACAAAAATGATGTGTCACCTTTTTTTTTGCTCTTCAATGAATTGTTTTTGAAAAACAACGATGCTTAGAAAAATCGATATTTTCTTTTAGATTTTTTACAGTTAGTCTGTATTCGATGTATCATTTGATGTCAACATCAATGTTTTAAAAAATTTGCACATCCCTACTTAATCGTCCCATTCGTTAATGGATGTTTTAATATTTATTATGAAATCGACCCTTACTAAAACAAAAACAATTTTTGCAAAACAAAATGAAATTATTGATTCATTACATATTAAATACATATGCAACTTATTATAAAGAATTTTCATCAGAAAATTTAGTTTCAGGTTCTTTTTCACTCCTAGTCATTTTTCTTTATTATGGATTCTAGGATTTTTACCCTTATATCGTTATGATAAATTAATATATGATAGTTATAGTAATTCCGGTATTCTGGGTATTCCCTCATAGATTTGAGCCTCGGTGACTTTCCGACTGGCGACAAGTTCAGGTTGTCAGATTTTTTAGACTAAAGTTGAGATAAAGCAATTTTGTTCATACTAAAAAAACTCATATAGTTCATGGATTGAACACTCTCATATGTTGTCTCTGATCTCAGTATTGTCTTAGAATTTTACCCCTCAATTTATTAACAAAATAATAAATTTGGTAACTGAAAAGAAATATATTGTTTAGAATCTACACTTACTATTTTTCGTTCTTCAGTTTTATTTTCTGAAAAATCTGGTTTGATTTCTAATAAATTATTTTGATCAATATCATATAATGACTGCTCCGTACTACTATCCATTTCAACAGTCTGTAAAATTTGAGAATCAGCTGATTCAATATCATTACTGTGTATTTCTCCATGTAAAGATTGTGATGTTTCAACACTAGACAATGGTCCATCATCATTGTTTTCTCTATAAGTGTTTTGATTATTTGAATTATCCTTTTTTAATTCAATGAATCCAGAAAGATCAGGAGTAGAAGGCAGGTTAAAATGTTCAAAACATTGTCTTAATTTTGCATCAGAGGACTCGCATTGTGTTTTGAATTGAAATGCAATGTTTAATTTTGATATACATTTTTGGCATATATAGGGGGGCAATCCATCGCCTTGGAGAACCTAGAAAATGATATAGTTTGTTATTGTTTAAGATGAAACTTTCAAAAATTACCTGGACAGCTGCACAAGCCATTATTAGAATTGAAAAATGAGGCGGCTTGATTGGATCAAATATAGGCATCAGTTTAGGACCTCTTTCCAAACATATTCGACAAATATTATTAATATTCATTGTTAAATAATAATTCAGTAATTCATTTGAATGGTGCTGCATATTTTTGTTATGATAGGATGCCATGTTTTGTCTGGTATTGTTTTCTATTTTCTACCTTTTCCTTCCATCTTCCACAGCCAAAGAACTTATTGCTTCTTCTTTTACTCTTCTGTCCATCCATCTTCTTGCATATTTCACAGCACGGAACAGGGCCCGTATCTATAAACAAAACTCAGCTGAGTCGGACTTGGGTAAGTCGTCCTTGAACGAAAATCGAAATTCGGTTATATCTCCGAGCAATTACTAATAGAGGGAGCGTGAAAACGAGTTTGTAGGCGATTGTTGTGTTAGCAACATCTGTAGAGGAAGTGAGGAAGCGGGCACAAGGGGGAAGGTAAACATCCTTCTTGTTCAGTGGCGTATCATTTATCTATAAAAACACACATTGTCCAAACGTTTTAATTGTAAAAAAAAAACTAAAAAATTTGCTAATTTTACTATTTTTAAAATGAATACCGTCTTATATGTGTCTAATGCAGGAAAAGAAACAAAATCACTGTAAAGGTCTAATTTTTTCAATTGAAGAATAAAACCTTAAAATCAATTTTATTATTAATACAGGAGCGACTAGTTTCGGCCTTACAGGAACATCTTCAGGCCTGTAATACAATAATATTTAATTATTATAATAGGTTGGTCGCTTACGAATAACATTAAATAGTATAAACCACAAAAATGGATCCATATTGTAGCGTTACAGCATTTTAGAATTAAAGCTGTGAAAATAAAAGAGCAGTGCAAACGTAACTAAAAATAAGAAAACTGATTACGGAATCTACAAGAGAAGAGGTGAGAATGAGCAATTACGAATGCATTTAAATTGCTCGGGATAACAAATAAAGCTGATAATGTAGTGGTATAGTCCCCGTCAAAGAAGGTCTGGATACGGCGTTTTCTCTGTAAATCTGGAGAATGTAAGGATGGAGGGAAGACGAATCTTGCTGGCTCAGGTGTAGATGGCTAGAAAAAGGAGCGTGTAGATGAAAGATCCAGTAAAGATAATCACTTTCGTCTAATTTTTTATTCTCACTCACCGTTTCGGCTTTATCTTCGAAATTCATTTTTAAAAGGAAATAAAAGTAATCATTCATACAAGCATATAATAAAACAACATGCATTCATTATATTTAATAAGCTAATAAACGTTTGTTTCAATGAAAAAAACATATATGTGAGTATAAAAAATATATAAATTAATATCAAAATCAATTTGAAAATACAACAGATATAAAAATGAAATAAATTAGTACAAGTACAAATAGAAAGTTAATAACACCTTCTAAAAGTAATACATTTTAAGTAGATAAATGTTTAAAGAGTTTATTCCTGAACATAACTAATCTAACGTTTTTCCCCTTTTAAATATTATGAGGGTTTTTGTAGTTGAAATGAAAATTATAATTTATTTTGCTCCTAATAAAAATTTAAACATAGGTTATAAAAGAGTAAAATTCATAATAGAACTTCATAATCTTAAATCGTTATCAAAAATTATTAATGGTGAAACTTCAAACAATAGATTCTTAAACAAATTTCTAGTTTTTGTTTTGCAAAAGACTTTTTTGCCTTTTATTTTAGTAGTTTCGAGGAGAATTTTCCTGTGGAAACCAGTAGAACCATCAATTGATTGGTAAAATTTTGATATTTTGAGTCTGGTAAGTCTTGTTAAACTTTCTTCTTAGGAAGCTATAACCTTATGGAGAATAAAAATTTTATGTTAGATCAAAAGCTCTTAATTGAGAATTATATTTGCAAAGGCCGTTTTAATAATATTTTCAAAAGTTCTTGGAATCGTTGTTAACAGAAACCTGCAAAAAAATATATAATTTTATTCCTAAAATATAAGATATCACACAATGCACATTCATATAATATCATTGTGCTAGAAAAATACTAGGTAGTTACTGAGACAATTTAAAAAAAGTATTTCAAAAAACTCAACTTTTAATGTCATCATTGTACTTAACTTTTTATTGCTAAATTATTAATAATGTCATTTTGTGTAGTTCTTTGTGATTTGTATAATATATATTATAAAAAACTATCATCAATGTTAATGTGCCAAGTTTTTTTAATAATTATGTCCTTGTTATAGTAAAAACACATTTAACCACATTTTTAAAGTTTTCTGGATTTCTGCTTTAAATTATCGTACAATTGAACTGACTAATTGTGAGTTTAAGTAAAGGTATATCTCTTTTTTGTTTTAACAGTCTTTGTATATTGTTCTGACTTTTTAGATAATCAGAGAAAACAGTAAGACATCTCTTAATATATCCTATTTCACCAACAAAAATGTAGAATAATTAATCTCACATCAAACGAAAAAAGTAATTTTAGGGTGTCCTAATAGGTTTTAACTTAAAAACTAAATAAAATGTATATTGCAACTGTGTTTAAACAAATGAATGTTTTTATACCTGACTATAGCACCAGACAAACATTTTTTTAGATCATAATGATCTGCATAACTCAAAATAGTCAAAATCCACATTATTTAAGTTGTTCTAGTATTGTTTTAGCATAACGATGTTAACTCCAATAATAAATATTCATATTTTTTTGGGACGTTTTTTAAGGAAATTAAAAAAAAAACATGAATAATGTGATATTCTTGTTTAGTTGTGTACTATATAATATAGTTCATTAGGTAGTGATTTAGAAGAAAATTATGTTCTATTTATAGAATAAAAAATCACTCATAATATCTAAATATTTATACCTATTTATATTTTGGACTATTTTATGTTTTTGGCTCTGAATAGTTTTTCTTAAGAATTTTAAAACCTTCCTTAGCTCTTTTGGGATATTCCATGCATATCTTAGAAGTTCATTTGATTAAACCTAAAACAAATTAAGTACAAAAAATGAACATTTAAACAATACACAAAATTAGTCTTTTAGATTAGTTAAAAAAAAGTGTCAACAAAAAAATGGCTATGCCTTGTTCTTTAAACATTCTTTTTGAAAGGAAATTAAGTTTCTCTACTTACTTGCTGTTTTAGTATTTTAGTAGCAGATGAATATAATGTAGAAGTAGTGACAGGATTGATTATTATACTTCCTTCGTCGAAATTGCATGTTTCTTTAATATTTTCCTTCCCTGAGGTCTGTAATAAAAATGTTCATTAGCATAAAAAGTTATTCAGTGATCACTTGTTGAATTCCTATATTTTGGAACCGTGTATTTCTTTTTCATATCAAGAAAAGGAAACCTAAAAAAAATAACCATAAACTTTACAAAGATGTGATATTAAAATAATAATAAGTAATTAACCTTTACTATAATCATTATGAGACGAATGAAGACGAACTTAGCTGGAGTTTACTTGCTCTTAATTTTAATAAGAAAAATAAGAAAGTTTAATTGCAATTTAAAGGTGATTGCCTAATGCACCGCCTCTGATAATTAGGTTGTGTCTGTACTTACTTATGATATTATCTTGAAGAAGCATTTTCAACAGGCATTTTACACATAAAGCATGTTTTCACCATATTATTAGAGATAATAAATCTTAAATATACATTTACAACCCTTACAACGTTATAAATAATAATATTTTCCGTAAAATACAAATAAGAAATTGACATGTGTCAGAAAGTGTCAGAACTGGCGCTCACAGAACACTTCTGCCGCTGTCAAACTTGGCAACGCTGATTAAATAAGCCAATTACAGAAGAGGTATTTTCCCCCTCGGGGGGAGTAGATGTTGCTAACAAAATTTAGCGCGGGGAAGGGGGGAAGACTCCCTCTAGTAGTAATTGCTCGGAGGGTTATATCGCGTGAATTTAGAGATGGGTAGTAACAAATCCTTAAATGTACATAAAGGCTGGTAAGTCACGATACTAAATTAAGTACTAAATTTAGAACTAAATTAATGCATTTTTTAAGTACTAAAAAAATTCACGTTGCAAACAGCAAATTTAGTACTAAATTTAGTACTAAAAAAGTAATTAATTTACACTTACAGATTTGCTAATATCCATTTCTAAATTCAGTTTAACACCAGAACTACCTGGAACTTTAAAGACGTTGTAACCGAACTTCGATTTTAGTTCAAGGACGACTTACTACCCAAGTCCGACTCAGCTGAGTTTTGTTTATAAATACGGGCCTTATTTGCCAAATAATAAAAATGTCATTTTTAAAACTTCGTTTAAAACAACGGTTGGAATCGGTCTCGGTCTTAGAGATATAGTTTTTGTGATAGGTCTATTCTCAGTGCATATTTTTGTTTCCTCATTCCTTTTATCGAATCCTTCCGATTATATTACCACAGCTTATACAATACAGCTAAAACACTCTCTTGGCGGCAACGGTTTGCGTCGATTTCGTCGCGCATCGCTTAAGCTCCGCCTTCGAAGGAAAAGACGGTTTTGGCGTTCAGAAGTGTACTTAGGTAAGGTGTTGAGTCGTGCGTATAATTTCGTTGATTGTATAATTTCGTGGAGCCTATAATTTCGTTGATTTTGTTTGAGTTAAAGGTACTGTTATTATTTTGGTGACTCTTTAGCTGTGAGTAGAATGAATGAAAAAAAAGGACATCATTCTGTTTGTGCAGTCAAAGCTGTTTTAATAAGGGTTATACCTGCAAGAAAAACATTCTTTAGTTTTCCCAAGGACCCAAACCGATAAGTACCACATTATAAGACATTTTCATTGTTAAAAATATAATTTATACAGGTGTCCCATTAGTGCGTTATTGTTCAATATTTTGTTGTAGACACGCAAGAAAGTTTTAAATAAAAGTTATATGGATTTGAAAAATACCTACATATTTTAAAAATATCTTTGGATATACAGGGTGTCACGTTTTTGCCTGGCAAATTAAAATGTATGTTTTTTAAATGTTGCCTGGCAAATTAAAATGTATGTTTTTTAATGGAACACCTTGTATTTTTATTTTATGATGAAATTATTAACACCCTAAATTATTGTAAAGACGAATTGCTACAGAAAATTTTTATCAGGTATGTGTGTGGTTACCTTTTAATAAAAGCCTTGCGGATCCACTCCTGCGATA